ATACAATTGCTAGTCTTTGTTTAAAACATGGAAGTTGGCTTTGAATAAGCCTAACTTCAGCTAACTGGTGTAAGTTAGTCAAGTGGGTTTTTTCATGTTTGGAAAAGTTAGCAATCCTTTGGTTCGTCCATTGGTCTATTTCTCTCTTTTAGGGATAAAAGAAGAGAGATGCTTTGCCCTTCCCACAAACTTGTAAAAGTATACGAAATCTCACTCTAAAAAATTAACCATGACCCGCTTTGCCTTGATTTTAAGAGATGATGTGTGGAGCCGTCACTAAAGATAGGGAGCCGTGCTTCAGGGTACAGCCTCTTGTATAAGCAGACCTCAACATTCCTTCCTCCTTCATCACCTGAGCAATTCTGGTGCTCGTGCTGCTAGGACTGTACTGATTTACTAATACTGGTGACAGCACTCACAGGAACTACAGCTATTCTTAGTCCACACACGTTGCAGAAGCAAAGTGCCATCTTCCTTTCTCTAATTAAGCATTTCACAACTGCTTTTGAACTGCGTCTCCCCACACAGTCTGTGAAACACTGAGCTAAATCAGTTACCATTCCCCAAGGGTCCAGATTTAGGTCTGAAACCCAAAAGGTTCAGGTCTGAAATCCAAAACTTTTCAAATAAAAAGTCCCATTTAAAAATTTACTTGGTTTCCTTTCAGTATGCAGTGAAGTGCAATGACTTTTCTGAAGAAAGAAAACCAACAATTGAAAGGGCACATATACACTGGCAGAATAGACAACAGTGATTTGAAAGACATTCTTAAAAAAAGTTTGAGGATGAAATCTAAACCTTAGAGAGAGCATTAACATAAAGCAGCAAATTACCCCCTATGTGATGCAGTGCAGTGTTTCAACAAGACATTGTCATTTGATAGCACTCCTGTTAATTTTGCCTACCAGGTCAAGACTGTGCTTCGAAAAGCAAAACGCAGCTGTGTTTTTTGTTTTGATTTTGGTTTGTGGTGTTTGGGGCTTTTTTTTTTTTTTTTTAGCTGATTTTATAGATTCACATCTGCTAATTCTATCTAAATTTAATGATCTGATAGATAAAAGTAAACTTCAAGGAAGAGACTGCACAACTAAGTGTTTAATTATGAACTGTTTCCTTACGTAGGAACAATGTTTACCTCCAGCGGTCAGGAAAGTCACCACAGGGTTTCAAGAAACTCTGGTTTCAGTACACAACATTAACACACAAACATGAGTGGATAGGCAAAACCTGCTATCAACCTCAAATATCTGCCTTGTGCCTCTTGTGGATGTTGCCTCTCCAGCTTCAGAAAGAGAGCTGTGAATTCACACTGTGAAGACCGGAATACCCATGTTATCCAAAACCAGCACTGGCTTTATCAAAAATAATTTAAGCACTAAAAAAAGGTTGTATATATAAATGTAACGGACACAAATTCAAGCACATCAATGTGCAGATGAACGCAAGAAATAACATCATATTACAAAATGGCTATCTCTATAACAAACTGGAGAACGTTGTCAACAACCCAGTTAACCTGTACACAGCCCGCATGGCCCCACACTCTTATATTCTTCCAGATTTAATTGAGATTAATAAACCAGAAGATTGGGAGATGAAGGTAACAGGCAGTCAGCACCTACACATTCCTCTCTTCCACACACTGCATCCCCAAAAATCACTGCCAAAGATCCGAATGCAAAATCTGACACCAATTCATTTCCTCTGCTTACGTAACAGGAAGACCTCAGAAGATGATCATCCCTATATCCATAAATCATAATTAAACATCTTCATTGAAAATGAACTTTCACAACAGTACTAACTGCCACAAGACAGGTATACAGCAACGCCTCAGAGGAGCACAAGTCTCTACACAGTTTTTCCAGTTTTTTTTTTTAAATTGAGGATATGTTGGGAATAGGAAGAAACTCAAATGACAAAACCAAGACATTCTGAAAGAGAGTGACTGAAATCACTGAAGTCTATCTCTCAAAGAGACAGCAGAAAAGTACACTAGTTTGCTCATGCTTTCAAGTGAGCTTTAACACATACAAGCAGCTGCCAGCTGCTAGGTTTAGTGTGACTTAATGAGACCCCTTCTAATGAGAGGGGGAGATGCGAGTAATATGCATTTTTTCCCTTCTTATTTAAAGCAACTTTCCAGAAAACAAGCAGTTTCAAAGCTCTGACATCAAATAGTGTATTTCAATGAACGAGAAGAAAGGTTAGGCGCAGAGGCTGGTTAAGGAAAGCACTTAATTATATGTTATGCAGGCAAAGAGCCTCCCTTCCCCAGTGAGACTAATTCTGTCTGCTTAATATTGAAAACACTGTTGATGAACCCAGGCCAATAATCCTACAGAAACAAAAAGCAAAGCATCAACTAGAAAAGCTCCCTGACTCCAAATTCATGTCATCAGAAACCATGCACTTGAAGGGGAGGTATGGAACAAAGTTCACTATCATTTGGTGGAAATAAAGTACTCATGAGCTCTTTTCAGGCCCAAGAACTTCCAACATACTATTGACAATTGCTATGGTTTTTACAGTAAAATTTCCTATTTTGAAAGTATCTTATTCTCTTCATTGCTAAGCAAAACATTCATATACACAGTAGGTGAACAGGGATACTGCACAGCTGAGTTATAAATGCTTCCAAGAATATCCAACAAGCAACTAAAAAAAAAATAATAATAATAATACAAGTTTTCCTCTAGTCTTTTCCACGGTATTTTTAATTCTATATTTGGAACAGTTTCAGTACCTGGAAAGATGCAGAACTTGCATTATGGTACAGCGCGTTATTTTTCTGTTGTTCTTGGAGCTAGTAATCCAGTGCTGATCTTTTAAATGCACCCTTTTTTCTGGTAAGGGATCAGAAGGGAAGGACAAAGGTAAAGATGATAAAATTTTGGGTGGTTTTTGAATTGTGTCACATGGTGCTTGACTGAGCAGATCCCAACTGGGAGATAAACAACGTACTCCAGTTGCAGTGCTTGCTCAGTAATGGTCAAGTCACTTCACTTTTCTGCCTTCCTTTTCCTTTTGACTGCTTACAATTCTGTGGAGCAATTGATTTATATCTCAGACAAACTCTTCAACTGAATACACAGATCAGGACAAAGTTAGCACTAAGTGAAGCAAAAGCTGAGCTGTGTTTAGCAATATGCCTCACTCCACATGTTTTTAAGGTTCACATCCACTTTTCTCCCATCCTCAACAAAGGAAAACGTGCAGGTTTGTGTTTATGCATATGGGAAAGTGATACAACTCTCCCATCTTCATTTCTTGTCACTAAATCTGCATTTTCTGTGTCAGGAAGAAAAGAGACGAGCCCCTTAGCTTTCACTGTCCCTCTTGTCACTGCATGAATAGCAAGGCCTGTTAGCCTTTCCTCTATCAGCCTCATTTTCCTCCTTCTCCTCCCCACAAACTGGCATGGGGGAGCTGACTGCTACTCCATGCAAGTCAGCATTCTTCCTTCTTGTTCTAATTCTTATACGGTAAAGTTAAAACAAAGTTCCAGAACAGAAAGCTAATAAATTTAGATAAAGCATGTATCGTGGCTGTAGAGCTATTTTAAGCCCTTTTGTAAATTAAAAACAATAATTTTGGTATTATTTTGTTGGTGCTTGAAAGAAGACCGAAAAATACTCAATCCTCATCCCCAGTGTACTCAGTGGCAATGAGCTGATGTTCACCATGACTAACAAGCATCTTCCTCTGAAATAGCATGCACAGTGTCTGCCATTTGTTATGTAAGAAGAAAAAAAAGTCAAACAGTCTTCACGCCAGAAGGCAAGAGATTTGTATCTGCACAGATATGCTTACTAAACAATTTCAGCAAGTGAAAATGCAGAAGCATGGCAGGTCTGGAAAATAAGGTACAAAATGCTAAATACTAGGCACACACCACTGTGGGGTTAACTAGAAGTGAAACTGATTGCACTGCACAAAGAAAATAGGATTCTATTTCAGTAAAACACTTTCAGCACAAATTCAGATTTGCTCCTTAATAGAGTTTCATAATGTTCTCGTTCCCTAGATACTTTATGTTATAAGCACATTATTAAAGGCTTGCAAGCTTTCATTTGCTCTGAATACTATTTACAGAAATAATTATTTTAAACAGGTAGCATGATGTAGGCTTTCAGCACATTATGGGGAAGCTGTTAAATATTAAAGACATCGCTTTTAATATTAATGCATTTGCCGCAAAAGAATAATCTCAGAGAAGTCCAGAACACAAAACAGCACTTGTATAACTTAATCAGCTCTCCCACCACTACAAATAACCTATAGTTTAACTCATAAATGTGAATGCATATGCCAAAAAAAAAAAACAAAACAACCACAACCACCAATCTTTAGGAAGTCCAGAGCAAAGCATAGCATTTGTATAACTTAATCTGTCACCCCCTGTCCCCCCAAAAAACCTACAGAGCTTAATTCATAAGTTTGAATTCATTCATTTCTGTACCTTGCCTCAAATCAATTCCGTTCATGCAGCCACTGCAACAGACACAACCAGGGGAACAGGACAAGCCACGAGATACCCACAAAGACTCCCCTGCTCAGAATGTGCCACTGCTCAAGTTCCAAATCTGCGCTTGCTGCAGCCATTCAGCATGATCACACTACAAATGCAAAGCACCGACTGTAAAAATTTGCAAAGACTTTCTGCCAGGAGGTAACAACATTACCGCAGTTTTACAGTTGAACAAAATTAAGGCACAAAAGTGTTAAAGTGGGTTTACGTAGCAAGTAAATGCCTCAGTTTAGCAGCTGTTTAAAAAGAAAAAGCAGATTAAAAACACAGCAGAACACATCAAAAATTAAGCAGTCACAGAGGAAGAGGGTTACACCCCTTCTGCTAAAAGCGCCTTATACTGCATATGTACTCACAGAAACGTGTGCATCTAAGTAAACAGATGCAGAGACAGACACACACACAGACACATACATATGCACACATTCTCTCTCTAGGTCCATAGGAGCAGACACACACAGGCACTTACTTGATCGATTTCCATCAACTTGGGGAAGGCACCCGGCCATTCGATTGCCACCTTCACTATATCAGCAGGAGGGGGCATTGCGATGCTGCTGTTCTTTGGAGCCAGCACAACTGGACACTAAATACTGCAGAGAGCCTCTCTCATTCACACCTGCAGGGAGAAGGGGGGAAAAAAAAAAATACAGCAGTTCAGACAGAACTCCACTAATGCTGCCTTATTTCCTACATTTTCCCTGGCTGGGCAGGTGCATGAAAACATCTGTGTATGTGCATATGCAGGAGCACAACAACTGCACATATTACAAAAGCAAGCACAGGACGCAATGCCACGACACACTGCACAGCCAGTCTGTTCGAAAGATGGCTGAAGCACAGGAATGTACAGTGAATAAGAGGCAAGCATTAGATTTAGAGAAACTATTTTTAAATATTATCGAGTACGCTGGTAGAGAAAAGCAACAAACTGGAAGCAGCTGTTATTACGGTGTCACTCCTCAGGTCCCTGGGAACATGATGGCATCATTTGCAGCTTGCACTCCAGAAGAAGAGATTGCCCAGGAAGTCATGGCCAGGAAACACTGTTTCTTTTAACTATAGCAATGATCTTCTATGTGTTCACAAATAGATCACTGCACTATAGCAACCAGGATGTCAGGAAGAAGGCAGAACGCAGCAGTTTCCACATATACATACATACACACATCCTCACCTAACTGAGTCAAAGATACTGCTTTGTGGTAAATCTCAGAAGAATGCACAAGGATACGGTATGCATTAACAACAGCATCACCAGACAGCTACATAACACATTATGGTCCTGCAAGAGCACAAACATCAACAGAACTGCATGTCAGACAGCACAGGCTATGAATTTTGGGGAAGGAAAGGAAAGAGGAAGAGCCAAATCCTTAGGCTTGCAGAATTTAAGTTCTGTCCCTAAGGAGCTTAAAGCTCCTTGAAGTTTGCAACCTTGCAATAACAACATACAACTTGCAAAGCAGTGTAGTACTTCCTGGAGGTCCCTCCTTCTTCCTCACTGCTCTCCCAGCTCAGCAGCAGCAGGACAGCCACTGAAGTAGCAAAGCTCTGCAGTTCTCAAGCACAGTAACTCATGCAAGTACTGCCTGCTGTACCAATCCCTCTACACAGAGTCTAAATCTCAGACTATGGTGTTTCCCATGCCTTTTGCTGAGACCTAGCAGAACACAGCCACACAGAGCATAGCAAAAGCAGCTGCAGACATCCCCAGAGGTGCAGCTCCTCTTCTGAGAAGAAAAAGAAGGAAGTGGTTAACGAATGGGCCACATGCTCTCACATACACCCCTTGAAGGAGCTAAGGCAAGAGATGAGTTGTCAGAACATACCAGACATCCAAGAGCCGCAAACATGTACTGGGGAAAAAAAGTCTCTGACCACCTTTTGCTACTCCTTCAACTCAACCCAGCCTATTAGTAGAGCTCTCCCCACCTGCAGCAGAGCATGAACTCAGTCAGCCTGAGCAAAACCATGCAACCATCCCTTTATCGAGAAGTTTTGTAACCTCATCTTCTACTATCTATAAGTAGGATGTAAGCCCATCCTTCATGCACATGGCTCCACCCATGTGTGTCTTCATCTCCATTCTGAAAATGGTCAGCCCTCCACAACTTCCAACCCTGCTGCTTTCTGCATAGGGTTCTCAATACACACTAAATAAAAAAACAAAAACCCAACAGCCACATATGAACTTTAACACCATAAATTTATTTCCAAAAGTGGCGATTCTGATACTGACAACATCACACATCATCACAAAACAAAGTGGAAGGCAGTAAATAAGACAACAGGAAGGACTATAAATAAGACTGCATTGCAGGTAATGCCTCGAAAGGCAAAAAAAACATGATTAAGAAATGAAGTAATACTGTCTGCATTGGCACATACACAGAAACTCTTGATAGATATCTCAGGGACCAGGATTAAACACAGTTAAAGCAAGTGATTAGCTTGCTAGGGATCAAGAACAGTCGTACTGTCAGCTGCAGCTTCCTTATCAGAGCCCAGGTGGTACAAGGCACATCCGCTCTCCCCTAATATCTTTCACTCTTACTGTTTGCATCTCCCATGAGCGTTCCCCTTGCTGTGCAGTACACTAACTTAACTCACCAGCAAAGGAAAAAAAAAAATAAATAAAAAATGCAGTCATCTGCTTTTGGTATGTTTTAAAGCAGCTTCCCAGAGGTGGCACAACTTGGCTGGGAGGAGCAATGAGCTGTTAATCCACTATGGGAGTAAAATGAAACTGAGACCCTTGTGCCTTTCTGCTGACACACTTAGCGTTTCCCACCTCCACAGCAGAACGGTGCTCAGTAGTTTCAGCCTGGTAACATTTTGGTATGAAAGTGCCAGCAAAGCTTAAGCCATGCTGGCTGCCTGGTACTCACAAAAGCACAGGATTCCCCAGCATGAGGAGCACAGGACCTGTCCTCTGGGATGCTAGCAAACCAGAAAGCTCACCATGAATGCTGGAAAAAAATGCTTTGAGTCACAACTACTGGCCATGAGTGTGAAAGCAAAATGATATTACACAGCAATAAATTTGCAGAAAACTTCCACTCTTACACACAGACGCGGGCATCAGCCTTCATTGTCCCTTAGTGAGTTGTGGTTCATCTTATCAAGTCACTCAGGAGACAAATGGTTTAAGAAAGAACAGTCAAGGAAAGTGGGTTGGAAGCTAATCACATTCAGCTATGGAAAATGAGTATTTGCATTCCAAAGCATGGCACAACTGAATTCTCTCACAACATTCAAAAGACAATTTCAATGTGTCTAGTCTTTATGCAGGCTAGCACTGAATATCTCCTACGTAATTATAATTAATACATGCATTCTTATACAGTTACAAAAGACAAAGCAAAGTGACAAGTCTTTAACCAATACAAATGGATGTAGTTCAACTCGTTCCACTAGAAGGGCAACTCAGGCATTAGTGTGATCTGAATGGTGAAAACCATATATAAAATAGTCACTACAAGCTTTTCTTTCTGTTACTTAGCAGACAGTCAAAAGGGCCCAGATGTTTTCTCTACATTTTCATCTTATGAATTCAATACAGGCCTGAAAGATAATCTGGGTTTGGTCTACCTATGTGGCAATACCAGAATTCTATATTGTCAGTCAAAATAGGTCTTCATCACAAATTAACAACCACAGAGAAAATTCTACACTCTGCTCATACACTACCAACTACTTCTTCCACTGTGTTAGACACTGCCTAATGCAGAAGGAAAAGTGAGAATCATTTCACACGATGTGAATGAAGAACTAGAACCAAGGTCAACTGCTTTTTGTTATGTCAGTAGCAAAGAGCAAAAAGGATGAGGACCTCTCTGAAGGGTCCTGTTATGGACTTTATTCAAGAACAGTTCTTTTTTCTTTTTTTCAGAAGCTGATATGTAAGAACATCTTTACCTATTTTGACATTTATTTGTAACTTCGAATCTAAAGGCAACACAATGCACGGGAGTGCACGGGTGTATAAATGAAGGAGGGGAGGGAAAGGATGGCTCCCATAATTTGTTCGTGCATGCAGCTGTAACACAGCATGATATTTTAAATCTGAAGGCAAACAAAACAAAAAGCCTATGCAACCAAAAGCACCAGAAATATACCTTCTAACATCAGTACAGTTTTCAGAACCATGACGGATTACCCCGTTAAAATGCAAATTCTGCAAGTACTCTTATTACACACACAGCATACTTCTGCATCTCAACCACACTCTGCAGTCTAAGAGTAATAAACACTCAAGCTGGAAATCAAGATGTGTTAAATTTACTACAAAAATGCATCAGCACATACCTGCAAACTCCCAGTTTACCTAACTGGCTCCGAGGAATAAATTCAGTACATATATTAATAAAATGTATTTACTTTTCCCCCTTCTACCCATGTCACACTCATGTGAAAACAGGAATATGAAATAGCTTTTTCAATAGAAGTCGTTTTGTTTTAAACTTGTTTTGCAATCACCCTGCCACTTTTCATACAAGGTTCTCAAAGTGCTCTGTACTTACAGCTATCAGAATACACCACTGAAGAAATAAACTGCATTCTTATTCTATGGACAGGAGGAGGAATGAAGGCTATGAGGAGACGCGTGACTGAAGTTTTAGTTATACATGAAAAGAGCAGCCCACAAGAGCTCATTTCTTCTTGTACAGAAACACAGAGCCAGGTCACGAACAGCAGAATTAGCAACGTTGATGACTTAAAAACAAGCAGAAGAATGCACTAAAAACAAAACAAAACAAAACAAACAAAAAAAAAAAGGAAGCATGTGTGGGAACAGCCTGAGGCTGGCACAAGTCTGTGCCCCCTGTGGGCAGATCTTCCTGCCAGCCATGGGCCAAATCCTGCCCAGTGAAGAGCAAACCCACTGCCCACAGGCCTGGTGCTCACGCTCTACTTGGGCTCTCACAACTGTCATCATAGACCTCAGAGGCTGAATGGTCCCTCAGGAACTGCATCCAATTAACCATCTAGAAAGGTAATCCAACTCTCAGTTGGATCTCAGTTAACAAGATGCAGGAGCCAGGGGCTGGATGTAAATTTTGGAGACATCTAGAGGCTTTCATGCTGCCTTCTCTTTGTTATAGGCTCAGTATCACCCACCTCAAACTAGACAGCAATCGCAAAGGCCCAGCAGATTCCCTGATGCTGCAGGAAGACCTAATGGCACTCAACAGAATTCTGTTTCTTAGAGCTGCCCATCACCTTCCTAAGGGGAACATTTCTTTGATCCTTAACTTGCAGCACTTGACCAACAGTACATAATTAGCTCAGGAAACACCACTTACTGTTACAAAAAAAAAAAAAAGAAAAAAGATCTTGGGATCTACCAGGTTTAAACACAGTATTTTTCCTCTCATAAACACCTGAAAATTTAGTATTGGGATTGATCTTAGAAATGTGTATTTGAAATACACAAAAACAGGAAAGCACAAATCCACACAGAAAGGATAGTGAATATTCACGTGGTTATCATCTACCTGTTTCTCATATACCCAAAACCTTTCTTCACAACTGTATTCCAGGTACTTTATCTTTCCCACAACACTGCTGTTCCTCTCCTTAAGGAACAGTTTGTGTATCTGAGGTCCTGCTGAC